GTTCAGGCGACTCATAATTTGTTTTCGGATATGCTCTACCATTTGCAGGATACGAAACAATCGAGCTTCACGTATCCAGCTGTTAAAGGATTCTGCAACATTAGAGGTTACATGACCATATCTGCAAAGCACAAAATAATTAATAGTATGATGGGCATCCAATATGTAATAAAATTAACACGTAACAACAAAACTTAACCTTTACTGCTCAAAGTTAACATAAAAACATCAGTGTTAACATATATTGCTGAAAGTTAACATATATCAGACAAAGTTAACCTATAGGAAGAAAAATTCACATATATGTAGAATAGTTAACATCAACTGCAAAACGTCATAATCTAAGATGAATGCATTACCTGATACCAGGGAAGAATGCATTCGCCCAATTCTCTGGCGAATAACAGAGTACAATCTCATATGCGACTGGAGCCATCTCATAAATTTCCTTCATGTAGTCGTTCCATTCCGCTATAGTGTATTTATAGCAAGCAGATTGGAGCAAACTCCCCAAAACTTGTGTGTCCTTTGCTTTCAATCCCAAATCCTTTAGCTTTGTTCTAAAATTTTCAACTAGGTGCAGCACGCATCGTGAGTGGATTGCTTCAGGGAAATATTCTCTCACGGCTTCTCGAATCCCCTTGTCGGCATCAGAAATAATTACCAATTGGTGGGGAGGATTGTACGGGTCTAACCTTTCATACAGTATGGACCACAAGCCTTGAAGGAACCATCTCCAATTATCAACATTTTCCTGATCACATATACAATACGCAACCGGAAATATCCCTTGGTCTCCGTCGTATGCTATGGCGCTCAGGAGCATGCCTTTGTATCTGTCTTTCAAAAAGGTCCCATCCAAAAATAATAGGGGTCTACACCCATTTAAGAAACCAACGATGCAAGCGGCATAACATATAAACAGTCTTTTGAACCTTCCTTCATTCTGGTCAATGCATATGTAGCTTCCTGGATTCGTTTCCTTCACCTTTTGCTCATACCTGTACAACAATGTAGCTTCTGCTCAAGCATATATAATACATTGGAACATTAGGATAATATATTAACATAAAAGCTCACAAGTTTTCATAAAACATAACATTCCACAATGACAGTTGGAACATAACAATGAAAACTAACATGAAACATCTAAGGATGAGATATTGCATGATAAATCAACAACTAACAATTGTACTATAAGCGGCTATGATAAAAATTTGTACACTTAATAAAATAACTGTAAAATTTACCATCTTAATTGATCATAAGCCTCATAACTATCACCATACATATCCTCCTGCGCTCTTTCTTTGCCCCACCATATCTTACTGTATTCAAGTCTCAATCCATATCGAGTGCGGAACTCCTTTTGCACATCAATTGGTCGGATTTCAGGTCGCGCCTTTAATACCGGTCGCAATTGGGCTGCTATGAATTTACGAGATGCCCGTGATTGCCCTGAATTGTTAGCATGTTGTCCACAACTGTGTTCATTCACAAACCTTTTGATTTCAATTCTTTTACCATACTTAACAGGAGATGCAAAGAGCATCCAAGGGCATCCATATGTCTCCTTATATCGACAACATACTCGGATACGTTTGGGTTCATTCTTTACAAATTCATAGTCAAATTTTTTCGCCATGGAATAGTACTGCAAAGCTAGTCTCAATTCGTTTACAGTCTCAAATTGTTGCCCCTTTTCAGTTAATGTTGTGTGCCACCATTGAGGAATGCTGGAAGTGTTGTTGAGAATATCATCAGCTCTCATTACAACCTCACCAGACGGGAAATCATTTTGGATTCTCTCTGAATTGGATGCATTTCCTGGAGGAGGACGACTATATTCTGCATTCAAAGAGGCATCACTACTGCACAAATTAATCAACCAGTGAGATATCATGCATAATATGTTATATTATCTTCAGATAATTTAAGTTAACAGTAGTAGAACCAAAGGTAACATAGTACAACAAAAGTTAACTAACTGGGTGTAAAATTAATCATTTTCCGTAAACCTTAACATAGTACAACAAAAGTTGACTAACTGAGTGTAAAATTAACCATGTTCCCACGACAATTAACATGTTCATGTAAAGGTTAACATATCTCTTGGAAAATTAACCTGTAAGATGAAGAGTTAACATCTAACCATCAGAGATGACAACTATTTTTTCCCAAGTTAGCATCGAAACCTGAAATCACAATTGGCTTATCATCACACATAGACCTGTTCCTGACAGAGTTCATTGTTTACTTACAAATCATTAATAACTTACATTGAGGGATTTGATGCCCATAAGGGATGGTTGAAAGTTAAAGAAAAAAAATAACAATGTTTACATCACACAAAACCCAATGTTATAAAGAGTTCATTAATTACTTACATTTCCCTAATCTGATTTTTCCTTGAAGTGGAACACTCTACATTAACAGCAGCTTGCATGTGAATCTCCGTACAACCAATATTTCGATTGTGCTCCAACATGCACTTCAAATCATCATCGTTGTCAACTGAAAAACTGAGGTTGGGGTGCCTCTCAGATTTAAATATAAAGGATAAAGCTTCTTTAGGTACTTTCAATCTTTCAGACACATCAAATTGGAGTTCATCAAAGCTTGTTGGGCGGGAGCCCGCGCTTTTCCCCCCCGCTTTCCCCCGTCACTTCGTCATAAATGCGTTGGGAGAGATCACCGAACAAGAGAACCCATTCAGCCGGTTTTCTCAGTGAGAGAGATGAGGGCATTTTCGGCAGGTAGCAACAAAATACACCCACTAGATGTATACGTATGGGCTTTTGGGTCTGGCCCACAATTTTCGCAATTTTTTGGGGCTGAAGGCTAAGGCAGATAATTGGGGGGGCTGGGCCACATCCGATTTTTAGTTTTGGGGCCTTGAAACATTTTTCCCTTAATATTATGAGTTTAACAAAACATCCCGATAGATATAAAAATATGCCGAATTAAAAAAGAAAACAGAAAAACACGAAAACAGAACATGAAAGAAAACGTTCGAAGACCCTCCGTGATACTGACATGCTCCTCTCCATGCTCCCCGGAGGAAGAAAAAATCTGAGTTACTCCAGTGAGATAAAGAGCGAAAGAAGTGGTCCGCATGCTCCTTGTTCCATCCTAAAAGAAGAGAGAAGGAATGTATACTGTTAGGGGGTATTAGTCAATTGGGATATTTTCATGCGAAATGTGATAATTGTTAAAAGTGGAATAATTTTTCGCTAGCGGGATATTTTTTATAGGATAAATAGGAACAATTTTGTGAAGCGGGATATTTTGATAAAATAACTTTTATAATCATGAAGTATATGTTTATGCATTTTAAAGATATAAATACTATTTATGTATTTTAAACTTACTATTATTGATTGATAATTGCTCACAAGAATGTTCTTTACTATTAAATAACTTTTGGTTAGACTATAATAAATTTAAATTATTATTATTATAATGGTCTAATGATGGTGATAACCATAATAGGAAAGAAGTAAGAAATATAAAAAATAAAATATAGTCTAAAAGAAAAATAAAAGAAAATATAAAAAATAATAAAATAAATATGAGTTCTAGTTTTTTTACCACCTAATTCCAAACTAAAACTTGGAATATTTGAGAGACTAGAGCTCTCATTTTTGTATAGAAAAATAATAAAAGTGGGATAATTTTGTATCATTATCCCAATTCTAGTTTTGTTAGAGTTCTACTTGACTAACACTGTAAAATTTTATATAATTTTGTATCATTATCCCAATTCTAGTTTTGTTAGAGTTCTACTTGACTAACACTGTAAAATTTTATTCTAGTTTTAGTCCAATTCTAGTTTTGTTAGAGTTCTACTTGACTAACACTGTAAAATTTTATTCTAGTTTTAGTTCTATGCGACTAACACCTTAAAATTTTATCACACAGATTATCGATTATCGCGGTTCCAATTTTAAGTTCTAGACTAACAATAAATTGATGATATATGAGAGAATATGGCCTTTGATTATTATTAAATATTCTGTTGTTCGCTCCCCCTTAATTCTCCAAATAATTACAGCTCCAGTATCTTGTTAATTTCCTGATCCCTCCAATCCCCAAATATTTGCGAATTTACTTTTCTCTTGTTGCTAAATTTGCACTTATTATGAGTGTTTTGTTTGCATGGCCGTAAAGGTAACATATTTTCATCATTGCACCAATCAAATTTAACACATGTTTACCTTTTTGTAAAGAAACTATCCAGGTCATTTTGAGAAATGAAATAGAGGGAATTCCTCTGCATTGGAAAAATTATGTTTTTTTACAATTTTTTCCTCTAATTTCAGCAATAATTTAATTTTGCAAGCAAAATGTATTTTCACACAAAGAAAACTTCTCTCACATTTTTATTAATTCAGTTTAAATTCGCCAAACATTCCGTTAAATTAAAGGGAAATGATAATTGTACTATAAGTTACATATTATTCTTATGCTACCAATAACAAACATATGAGTTTCTTTGTTGGAGATAGTCAAGAAAAATAGTGAGTTACAATGAACCCTACTTTTTTATTTGTGTGAGTATGAAAATAGTATAAGTTTTATAGTACAATTATCACTACTCTAAATTATAACAGACGAAACTATAACAATGTCCTAATGTCACAAATTTTGCTGATGTTAAGGTGTTTATTGAACTTTTTTGTTTATATCAAAACATGACTGTTACCAAATATCTCGCCGAAAACCATGCTTCTGTTACTTCTCATGATCCGATTCATTTCTAATTCCTATCCAAATCTCAATAAAAAAAAGCTCACAAATCCTAACCCTATAGCACTAACTCTATAAATTAATCTCAAATTAATTCTATTAACCCCACTAACCACAGTTGAGGTGCTTCGAGATCAATGCGAATTTCATTGAGGTGTCAAATTCTCATTTCCAATTTCTGGGTGTATTTAATTCTCTCATTTAATGCACACACTACCTGTTTGGTAGACTTCTAGCAGATTACCCTCCTCTAAATTTACAAAATTGCAGCCAGGCCCCTCTCCTCCATTAACGTTCTCTTGTTCACTCACGTTTGCAACGATCGCAGCCTTTTTCTAAAGACCTCATCCTTGCCCAGCTGCCCCTTTTATCTAATTTTTTATTTATTTAAAAAATTGGTACGGAGTTCTCAAACTTTAATTTTTTTTAATTACTTGATTCTGCCATGCTAGTTTAATTTAGTTTTATGTGGGTTTCTTTTGTTTTATTTCAATTTTATCTTTTTGTCCATTTATTTTGCTCGCATTGATGTGGGTTTCAGGTAGAGGCAAATGGGTCTTTTGGGGTTGAAGATTTGCACAATATTAAAGTAGTAAGTTCTTAATAATCTTTCTTTGTCTTCTGTTTTCTTCTTTTATTTTGAAAGTTGATGTCTTTTTTTCTTTTTTCCTTTTTGTATTAGTTTATTTTGTTTTTATGTATCTGTCCTGTCCTGTGGATGTGGGGTGATTGGAGATCGATTGTGGCTTCGGCAAGAGTTTTTAGATTCACGGGTTCCGAGTTTCACACTTTTTTTCCGCCTGATTTTTGAATCCAACACCCGCCCCCCCCCCCCCCCTGTTTTCAATTATTTCTGCTGTTTAAGGAAGAATGCGGGGAAATAATAATCAGTGAACCGAGGAACCCTCTTCACTAATTGATATTTCTTTCTTAAATTTGGAGGGATTAATGAGTAGAAAATGATGAGTAATCCTCCTTTAAATGTATCTTGTCCATCCTTCTGAACATTAATGTGCATATCAATTTAGTGCTAGATTTTGTTTAACAGAGACCATGATGTATTATCAATATGCTGCTTGTTCTTTATGCTATTTGATGAGACAAATACTTGCATTGCTAAGATGAGTAGGTTTTGTTGAGATGCCTTGAATCTGTGGACTTCTTATGTCAGCCCATAGTCCACAGGATACATCAGGTTCTATATTAGGTTTTATTAATTGGGCCCAAATCTGTTATTTAATGCCTAGGGTTTTCTGGAGCGGTATATATAAACTCCTTCTGATGTAACTTGTATTCTATCGCCTCACATATAATAAAATCGCTCTCTCTCTCTACTAGCTAACACAATGTTAATGAACCACGTAAATCTGTGTCTTCGATCTTCACTTTCTTGTTATTTTTTCTCACATCCGTTCCAACAGGTTTAGTTAGTCAGCGTTTTATTGTAGTCTAATCAAATATTATTCTGAGTGATTTTATTTTGACTCAGCCTATTTGGAACTTAGGAAATGTCATGATGGCCTGTTTAAGATCTTCACTACAAGCTGGAATTTCTCCATTTATAGAACTGTATTCATCTGGGTAGTTGGAAAAAATTAAAAATATTGTGCTGTATTTGTCTCGTTCTACTTTTTATGATAAGTTCATGAGTCTGTAAGTTAAAAATACTTGTATATGATAGCACACCGTAATGCTTCTAAACTACACTCTGAAGTGTTAAGTTGATACTTTAAAAGCTTCGAATAAAACATTGTAGCTTTTAAGATACACTGTACACTTTGAATTTGATAATACCATGAGACTTTTAAGCGTTAAATTTAAGAGCCATTTACAACAAAAATTTATGGATACTGAACCTTTTGAAGTCCATTTTGCATTATGAATATGCTATAGTCTCCTCAAATGTATGGAACAGCCGATTTTTTCTTACAGTTTAAAGTCTGAGATCCAAAAAACGACTACAAAACATGAGAGTAGGAGATTTTGGTTGGTACTAGTTATTTAGACTCCAGAGTTCAAAAATCTGGTTGAAGAGACAAATAGGTAGCATGGTGTTATTCTTAAGTAGCTGGCGTTGTAAAAATTGTTTGAATCATATATAGATTTCTAACTAATATGGTGGTTCTTATTAAAATTTATGGTCAGAAGGAAGTAATTTGTAATCAACTTTTGAACATAAGAACTCTCGTCAACCTAAGCTTCGCGCATTACTTTTTTCACATTGAAATATGTCTTCTTTCTTTCTATTCATTAGCACACTTACTTACCTTATCAAACATAAAAGCCCTTTTTTGTGTTCTATTAATCTAATTCATACAAGTGCCATTATGGTGGAAACCACTTAATCTCTTTTTTCAATCGATACTAATTTATTGTAGGTGTAGATTAAATATTTGATCCAGCAGACGCCATAGTACTACAAACGATTAAATTTGGTAATAGTTAGTTTTTACTGCCTTTCCTTATCTGCTGCTTAATGGACATCATACCCATTGTTTCAAATAATATTTTACAATTCTCTTCAACTTATTCTTTTCTGGAATAATATACTATTATGTTAAAATGAAAATGGCAATCACATTTTTTCATCTTCTATCATTGATATCTAACACTTGGGCAATCTCTGGTTCCTTTCAGATTTGTGAATCACTATATCACTGCACTTATCTTTCTCAGGCGCATGATACCAAAGTAATTGTTCACAGTGACAACTCCTTCATTCTTTCAAATGATAACCATTTTACGACCAATCCATTAGTCACAGACAAAGGGGCTCTAAAAGAAAGGAAACATAGTTCGACATCACCCATGGAGGAAAGCACTATTTGAATGTTAAAGATTCCCTCAACAGAAATAAGATGGATGATGAATGTGTGGAAGCTTTTTATTCTGATTCTGCTTATGGACGTGAAACGGACATAAAAGAATTTTTCTATGATGACAAGATCGTGACTGAAGTTGAACTCTCAGAGATGAGAGTTTGTGTCGAAGATGATTCCCGTTACATTGTCAAAGATATACCAATGGACAAATTGGTACGATCATCTGACAAAATTTTGGTAGTAGAAGTGGGCAACCAAACCCTTGCCAATGGGCTCAATGATTCAATCAGAAAGATGGACTTAAAATACACTGTATTGGATAGTACAGATACTATTAATCAGGATCAAGCAGATGAAATTTGTGTTCTTCATTATGGTTTTAATGGATGCAAACTAGACTTAACTTCCTCAGCTAGGATCACTGAAGTTCCAGCAGACCAGGCTTCTTTTTTACGTCTTAATACTTACGAGGACTCTTCAGTGAGTTTCGTCAACAGTGAAGAAGAGCTGGATACAACTGCACCAGTGGTAAGTAATATACCAGCTAAGTGCACTGAAAATCCAGCAGATCAAGATTCGTTCTTTCTCCGTGATTCTAATAAGAACGGATCTTCTGTTAGTTCAATTGACAATCAGGATGAGCCAGATTCAGTTGAATCAGTATTAGACAACATAACAACCGAGGTAACTGAAAAGTCTGCTAAGACTACTGAAGTCCCAGAAGTTCAGGTTTCTTTTTCTCATAGGGATTCTTATGAGGACTCTTCTGTGAGTTTGACCAACAGTGAAGGCAAGCTAGCTATAAGTGCATCAATAAGACGTAACAAATCAGCTAGGTTCATTGAGATTCCAGCAGATGAAGATTCGCTCTTTCTCAATGATTTCGGAGGGACAGTCGGTCAAGATAACCCAGATTTAACTGAATCGGTGTTAGATAATATAACAGCTGAGGTGACTGAAAATTCAGCAGCTCCAGTTTCATGTGAAAACTCTTCTGCAACTCCTGTCAATAGTGAAGACAAGCTAGTATTAACTGCATCAATGATAAGTAATATGTCAGCTAAACTCACTGAAAATCCCGCAGATCAAGATTCTTTCTTTTTCAATAATTCTGATGGGAAAAGCTCGAACTCAATTGACAAACAAGATGACCCCGATTTAACTGAATCAGTTTTAGGTAGTATATCAGCTGAGGTAACTAAAAATTCAGCAGCTCCAGTTTCTCATGAGGACTCTTCTTTGAGTTCAGTCAACAGTGGAGACAAGCTAAATATAACTGCATCAGTGTTAAGAAGCAATTCAGCTAACTTCACTGGAAATCCAGCAGATCAAGCTTCTCTCTTTCTCGATGATTCTGATGGGAGAGTCTATTCTGGGAGTTCAATTGATAATCAAGATAACTCAGATTCAACTGAATCGGTGTCTGGTAATTTATCAGCTGAGGTAACTCAAAGTTCATTAGCTCCAGTTTCTGATGCTCATAATGATTGTGATGAGAAGAGTTCTGTGAGTTTAAGCAACAACAGGGACAAGTTAGATACAGCTGAACCAGTGTTAGGTAATATATCAGCTGAGGTGACTGAAAGTTCAGTAGCTAGAGTTTCTGATGTTCACAGTGATTGTGAGGAGAAGGATTCTTCTATGAATTTAAGCAACTACTGGGACAAGTTTGATACAGTTGAATCGGCTGTAAGTGATACATCCTTGGAGGTCATTAAAAACCAGTTGTTTCCTTCAGAAGAAAAAACTACAGAATCATCACAAGCGGATTCATTGGATCAGGCTACTAATGATGATCAGAAACAATCTGCCGATGGACAAAAGTTTGAGGTAACCAAATAGTTTTCATTCATTGATATATTTCCTTCCACAAAATGTTTTTCCATTCCTCTTTCTGGTCGAGGGCTTATCTCTCTATATAGGATAAAATCTTTTCTATTTAGAGTGCGGGATCTTGCTAATTTCATAAAACATCAAACCTATTTGAAATTGACAGATTGCATACTGATCATTGCTTAGGATGTCAGAATGTTATCCCTCGTTTCATTCTGAGGGGATAAAATTTGTTCTATTACATTGATAAGGACCAGGGATCTTGTTAATTTCAAACAACATCAAGCTTATTTTCTTGATGATTTTCATACTGATTAGTGACTTAGATGCCATAATCCAACTATATCTTATCAGAGTCGTAAGTTATATATGTACAGGTACAAAAGAACTTATACTTCGATTCCTTATTTGTTAAGGTTGATGGTAGCATTGCTTAAGTGCAAGACTAGTGGAAGGGGTATGTTTTGAAGTAGAAAAGTAGAAAGAATATTTTGAGTCTTAAATGATCTAGAATAAGCTGGATTAAGTGTAATATGGTGCAAATTTAGCAGATTTATGAGAAGGAAAGTATGTAGTTCACATTGGGTATATATTCAAGGTTGTGGTATATGTTTAAATGGAAGTATGTAGTTCACATTGGGTATATATTCGAGGTTGTGATATATGTTTAAATGGTTGAAGCTTTCTCGAAACATAGTTGACTTTATAGCTCTATATCTAATTGATTACAGGCTAAATCAGAAGATACCAATGCAGCATCGACCACCTTGTCATTTCCCTCTGAAATCTCTGTTCTAAGCAATGAGTCCAAGGAAATTCCTAACTCAAAGGTGCCAAGTGATGTCATTACTTTTAATTTCGACACAGAATCAGCATCAACAAGTGGCCGTAATGAGAATAAGGAAAGCACAAACTGCCAGAAAACTGAGGTGGTGGCTCGTAATAGTCCTCAAATTGAAGAGACAAAGATTGAAGGTGCAACAACTTCATTGAGATATTCATTTCTTCAACTTATGCAAGGAGAATCAAATGCATCTGAACCCTCCATTCTGTCTGGTTCCTTAGCCAGTTCAGGGCGTATACCGTATTCTGGCAGTATTTCTCTTCGATCGGATAGTAGCACCACCAGTGCAAGATCTTTTGCATTTCCGATGTAAGTACTATAACTTAAACTTGCAGAGAAATTTCAACTGCAAATTATCTTATTTCACTTTCTTATAATGTCATTTTGCCTCTTATCATTATTTATTTGTTCACGTCAAGCATTTGCTTAAATGATTGACTAATATATATCGGTAGATGCGGGAGGTTATGTGCCCAAAGTTAACCGGAACCATTTTATGTCACTGAAGTTAGTAACGGTTGTTATGTTGTTTAGGTTCTCATGTCATGCACTATAATTACAAAGATGACAACAGAAAAAGAGCAAATAATGCAAATATTCTGCAGTAGATTAGCGAACTTGAGTTAATTAGGTAGAACTAGGAGAAAGAATAATTACACAAGACCTCAACCTTTCAGTTAACATGCTTCTTCTATTATTGGTTCGTAGGAATATAGGATGGTAAATGAATAGGTGGTCAAAATCTGTATTTCACCTTAGGCACATGCTCGCACATGCTTTATATATATATATATATAATAATATATATAATATATATATATTATATATATATATATATATATATATATATATATATATATTATAGAAGAGAGAGAGAGAGAGAGACGGAGAGAGAGAGAGAGAGACTTCAATCCATTGATGATACCTAGGGATCCATGCAAGATATGAAGAGACTTTCTATATGAGTGGATAGAAAGTTTGGTGGACAAAGGCCTCTTGTCCACTTAAGTTACATAAGTTCACCTCTCTCTCTCTCTCTCTTTATATATATGTGTGTGCACCCTGTGTGTGTGTGTCGCTCACGCACGCACACGGATAGGTAAATTTAATATTATCTGTGGATATTTTTACTGATAATACATTTTATATGTGTGTGTGTCGCTCGCGCACCACGCACGTGTAGGTAAATTTAATATTATCTGTGGATATTTTTACTGATAATACATTTTTGAAAGCCTAATTTAAACAGATATCAGAAACAGATTCTGGAATTCAAAAAAGAAACTGAAATTAGATATGAATACATATGCTGCTATGATGAATATACTGAAAATTAAGGGTTACTATCTTTTTGTCCATGTTTCCTAGTTCTATTCCTTAATATCTGACTATATTGTGCTACCTTACCTTTCTATGTGAAGAATCAAATGTAGCAAATTATTGTGCTATTTTACCTTTCTATGTGAAGAATCAAAGGTAGCAAGTTATTTCGAAACTTGAAGTAGAGGCATAACTTAGAAATATGTAGCTGAACATAGCATAAAGAGCTCTTTTCGTCAATGAACTTCTATAATGAGATCGTACTTATTAACTTTTTGTGCTTACCCTTGTGTTGATATATATTAACTATGACTACTTGAACTCTATTCAAATGTTTTATTTTGGGAGGGTAATGGTGGAAATTCCATCCCTTTTGGCCTAAGCTACTTGTGGTTGGTGAAATATATTCAAATCAGTAGGATATTCTCGGTATAAGTTGTGGCTACAATATGCGAACATTTGAAATTCATGTATTCCTTATTCTGCCCAAATTTTTTGTCCATGTTTTATTTAACGGAACTTTATGATTCCTCTCCCCCGCCCCTCGAACTCAGACTTCAATCAGAGTGGAATAGCAGTCCAGTGAAAATGGCAAAAGCTGATCGGCGAGGTTTGAAGAAGCACCAAGGTTGGAGGATGGGGCTTTTGTGCTGTAGATTCTGAGTATCTTCTCTCTTTACTTAGTTGGTCTAGCTTATTCCATAATTCACCATTTAATTTATACATCCAGATGACAAATTTGTCAGAAATGTTTTTCTCCCCTTTGTCTGTCATATTTAATTCATAGCAGGTTCAAGAGGTTTTTGAACGGTTTTGTAGCATGTAAGTAGCTGATTGTGGTGCTCTTCTCGGTTTTACTTTTATGTTTCTTGATTTGAGATAAAATTAGCATGCAGTCAGATGTAAATGCAGACTCAATGGTGTAAGAGAGAGTGGATATAATTTTATTTGAACTTGAGTCCAAAGAATAAATTTTGCTTTCCAAATTTACTCCGATGTCTGATGGATATACGATAAAGCATGCACGCACGTGTGAAGAGGCTATAACGTTTCTAGAATATAACTAGCTCGGATGAAAGCATGTATTATACAATGAAATTGAACAGTTTGTTTCTTTCACCTTAAGTGCATTCAACCGAGTCTTTTATCATTTGTATGCACATAAAAAGCCCACGAAGTTGTGAACATTTTTAGTGCGCTGAACCGGTGAGGTAAGTCTTGGTATTGATGTAAAAGTTATTGATGGAATGAGCTCATGTAACAGGTCTAAAGATAAAAAGTAAGGGTCAGTTTGGTTGGTTTCGGGGGAGCTCGAACGTTGCCACAGATGTCCCATTTGTGACAGACAGATGTCCCATCTGTGGCAGCTTTTGGGCTTTTTCCCACCCAAAAACAGAGAGCCAAACGGACCCTAAGACTACACATTGATGGGTTTTTTTTTTTTGGAACGGTCAGCAACTTCGCCCCCGTGTACCATTAATAAGATTTTCATTAAAAAAAACCCTAAAGCTAAACTGTGGCGAAAAACCACGTAAATCTCTAGGCTAAACAGATGACAATCTCTGTTCCTTAGAATCTCGAAGCACAAAATCTAAGTCTCGACTTACCTTGCAAAAGTGAAAGGCACTGAGCTACTACCATCATTTGAAAGCTACTGACCGTCGACCAACCACTAAATCAATGAAAATGAAAAAAATGTCAATTAATTTCTAAAACCAATGGAGCTGGTCACAAAGAAAATGAAATGACATTATGAATGTGTACTGATGAATCAAGTACCTCATTTAGGAGATTGCTTGTGATTGCAAAATATGCTTACATGTGCACGAATTGGGAGCAACATATTTGTGAGTTGACAATAGCGAGCACCAAGCAAAATCTTAGGCTCCAGTCACATTCATCAGGGTTGGGTCCGTGTAAACTTCTTAGTTTCCAATGTAGGTCAGTCATCTAGAATCCAAGCAAAGCGCAAACTCGGCGAAAGTAAGAAAACATGCGTCCTCTTATAATTCAAGTGAATTCAACAAAAAACATAATTTCCTTTTTGATGAATTATATGAAGGTATACATTTCAAAGTGAGAAAGAAAACATGCGTCCTCTTATAAAGTCGAGAAATAGATTTCGAAATATATAGATTCTGTCAAAGTTTTCGCATATCTATAGATTCTAGGCCTAGTCAAATGGTCTTTTTCTCATGTCTTTTGATGTAAAGCCGACATGAGAGCGAGTTGAAAGAGAGACAGAGAGAGAGAGCTACAATTAGAGGCCTTTCTTCTAAGTTTTAACTTTAGGAATGCTGCAAAGAAAGAGACTGTAAACTAAAAACATTAATTGCATGGAAACTTAAAGATCTTCTTTCGACTGCAATTGTGATTCTAGAATAGCACTATTGAGCTATATATATGATGTTGTGCTCTAATACCAATTGTTGTTGAAAACCGTGTCGATGAACCAAACCAAACTCCGATCAAAGAGGGCCAAAACTAACCAAAATCAATGCACAAATAAAACACCAATTTTAACGTGGTTCGGCAAGTTACCTACATCCACGGGGCAAGGGGGGATGAGGTTTTCACTAATAGAGAAAGAGTACAAACTGAGATTACAAATTACTCGAAGGAACAAACTAATCTCACCAACAAAACTCTTAATCTCTCCAAAATAAAACCCTAATCAAAAGCTCAAAAAAATACCTCTTTTTGTGCTCCAAATATCCCCCAATCAATGTTTAATCAAAGCCCAATCAAAGCCTAAACAAAGCCAAAGAAACCCTAAAAACGTGTCTCTATTTATAACAAAACACAATCCCAAACTGATTTGGGATTCTAAAAACGAGTCTGCCACACCCTGGTGTGACACACACCACACCCATGGCAAACAGGCAGATTCTGCCACACCAGGGTGTGGCAGACACCATACCCATGGCAGACAGGGTAGATTCTGCCACACTCATGGCAGACACCACACCAGGGTGTGGTGAAGCATGTTTTGCTTATTCTTCACGTTTTTCTCAATTCCTTCCTCAATTCCTTCGCCGTTTTCACATATGAGTATGAGATTGTAGATTTGGATAGAAGTAAGCTACGCAGTAAAATTCTTAAAGCTAATATAAAACGGGTTTGGGTTGGCTTATATATAAGTAACTAGCCGTTACCCGTGCATCGCATGGGATTAGATTAAAATTCTAGTATGTATATTAGAGTTTTGGATAAAAAAGAGAGGATAAAAATGATTTTTTTAAAAAAATAGAGAATAATTAAGATGAATGATTTATAGAAAATTGAAAGATGAAGAACAGGAATTTCCAAGATGTGGAGGATAGAAGACCAAGATGAGATAGTGAAAAAAGAACGAGTCAAAAAGAACTATTAGTTATTAAATGTGAGAGCTCTTAGAATTTGTCAAATGGCAAAAAAATACATCTAGGTTTTTACTTTATTAGTGTAGGATTGATGATCACATAACTTTAGCCTAAGCTATTTGGGATAATCCAAATGGAGATGATTGATGAACTCACATGTGCTTAATACACTGATGCTTAGATTAAGACTAAGGAGTAATTGACACTAACAGGAACTCGAAGACAAGGAATATTTGCGCTGATGAAAGTTATAGGGAATGCAAATTTTCAAAACTCCGTGAATTTCCAATGGTTTCTTGGAATAATGCTTGTTTATATTTGTTTCAAACTTTAAACAAGAGCGAAAGGTAATTTTACTTTCTTGCCGATCTGTTGTTTGGTTGCAAAACCCAAAAAGGTGTAGTAGAGATCCTTTATATTCTTGATTGTAGAGATTCTCTACAACTCATCAATCAAAACTCATGAAGATGAAACCCAAACTTGATAAAAAGAGAGAAATAAATACATTGTAAAAAAAGAACGAGTTGTCATATACTTTCCTTATTTTTTTTTTTCCAAAATAATGCAATACATCATATTTCCACCCATTTCAAGCAAAAAAATGTCGAATTTAGTTTTCAGTAAATTTTATGTGATTTCCACCTTTTGTAGAAACCTCTTTAGTGCAAAATTTGGTGAACCAAACGAGAGAATAGGGGGGAAATTTCAGAAGAAAAAAAACTTTTTTTCCCTATGCGTGTTAGGGGATATCCATGTGTTCTCTCGGATTTTTTATTTTTGGTGCTAGCACCTAGATCCTAACAGATCCTATTTGAAATTTTGAAAGCTTACAAGAAATTTGCAAGACTGGGCAAAGTGTATGGCTGTTATAATTGAATTTACAAGTACTCGAGGGTTTCATGGAAAACCTCCCAAAGTTCACGTGTTTTGTGAAATCTACCCAATATTGCATTTCAACTTACTGCACATTGGCATGTGCAATGCACGTGCAATAAATATTCAGTTATATGACTAGTTTTCCATTTTCACGTAATAGTTTGATGATGATTTAATTTATACAGTTTTATTATGGAGTTCTACATAGAAAATATATATTAAATTGTTCTTTAGCAATTAAGTCTATCCTTAACACAATTTTATTGTGTAATTTCCTAATTGAGGATAATACAATTAGGGTAAGTGGTTAAATGAAAAAATAAAAAATGGAGATATCACAATTTAATTGTATGATATTATCATTTCATGATTTAGAATGTTCTAGAAATAAGAAAGGAAAAAAATAGTTCTTTTGAAAAATTATAATCTTAATTATGTGAGTCCAAATCCTATTTTCATGTCATGGTTTAGAATCTTTAGAAATAAGAATGAAAATAAATGAAAGGAAAACAAATTCTTTCTACAAAATTACCATTTTACCCTCCAAATTACAATAGGAATGAATGAAATGTACACCACTCATCCAATTTTTACTAGTATAGATATCAGGAAAAACATCATCCTACGTTTAGTTCGGAGCTCGTAAATGCTATTAGATTAGTTGCACCCTCCTATTAAAAGGGCAACTCCACACCTAATCCTTCTTACAAGACAATCTATAATATGAAAAGACTTTCTAGAAAAAAGAGAATAACTTGGGGGTATTAACACAAGCTTATTAGTCAATTCCAAAATGAAGAAAAATATGAAGTAGGAGTCTCAGATATGGAAGGGAAAAAAGGGCAAAGGGGTTTTTCAATATTAGTCCCTTAAATCATTAGCATTTTGATATTAATCTCTTAAATCTTCATATTTTGATATTGGTCTCTTAAAAATTATTAGTGGGTTGATATTAGTACTGTAGTTAGTTAATGTTATAACTTTAATGGAATATTCTGTTAACTCTTAACATTTTTGGGTGGATTGACCATTATAGCCCTCTGATTATAAACCCAAACCTATTATCTATTTAACTCATACCCATTTACAACCCTCAAACCCATTAATTACAAACCCAAACCCATTTAGACCCTTCTTCTTACTTTGATCCCTTTGATTTTAAACAATTATGGGAAAAGAGGGAGATTTTGCTTAACTGGGAAAGTGTTGGTGAAGAAAAAGATTGAAAGCATCCAAATTTAATAAGTGGGGGCTAGTTTGGTAATTACCCACCTAGAGTTAGCACTAACCTAACCACGGGTCATCATTTTTTACCATGATCTTAACAGAAGGACCAATATCAACAACTAAAGTGTAATTGAGGGACTAATATCAAAATATTAAAATTTGAGGGACTAATACAAATTCACTATGATTTAAGGGACCAATATCGAAAAAGCCCAAAAAAAAGCCTGCTGAAGTACTGTAGAGTGGACCTCCTGGTCTAAAGGTAACAGGTTGCTGTACTTGAATTACACCATTAGTAGCAGTAACAGCAGCGGACCTCTGGTCGGTTGGTCGGTCAGTCGGTCGGTCGACTGGACGTCCGACCTCCTCCACACCTGATCCAGTAGGACCCATACATCAATGAGACCCGTTATCGTTAGCGCATTCCACACTCAACGTCTGACCCGTAGTTGGACTCCACTACTGCTTGTGGGGACCACGCGTGGGTGTACGTGACTGGGTATCGGAGTGCGGTGGGCCATAGTACGACAAACTGGTAGCTTCTGTGGTCCCCCAACAGGGTTAGTGCAGTCACCGTTTGAGACTATTGTTTGCTTATTGACCACGTCTTATATTAAAACATGCGTAAATTTTACAAAGAACAATTTTTCAAAACAGCTCCTTTTAAATTTTTATTTTTTAAAACCGACCCTGTTTTTTTTATTTATCAAAACCGACCCGTTTTTTGATTAGCAGCCTAATCACATTCCTAAATAGTCGGGGTTGCCAACCCCGACTATTTAGGAGGATGTTAAACCCTAATTAGAAGCCTTAAACCATACAAATTTAAGTCCTAAATAGTCGGGGTTGGCAACCCCGACTATATAGGAATGTGATTAGGCTGCTAATCAAAAAAACGGGTCGGTTTTGATAAATAAAAAAAATAGGGTCGATTTTGAAAAATAAAAATTTGAAAGGAGCTGTTTTGAAAAATTGTTCTTTTACAAAACCTTGCCCAAGATTGGCCCTTCCTCAGATAACCCCTGAACTTTTAAAATTGCACAAAACTATACTTATGTTTTTGACTTTCAGAAGACTCCCTTAAATTTTCAACATAAAAAAAGTCTTTAATGGTATTAACTACCTTTGTCACATTGGTAGGTAAAATTATGCAAAGATATAATTTTGCCTGAGAAAATTATGATTCATGCTTTTGGGAGTTTTTTCCCAAAAACATTGAACGTGGAAGGGAGTTTTTTTCAGAACCCCATAACTTAAGTGGGGATTCTTTGCTATTCTAATCGTTGGTCGGAGCTATCCAGAAAACGTCCAAACTTAAGGGGGGATTGTGCAATTTACCCTCAAAATATTATCATTCTTAATTCAAAATATAGTGACTAGTGAGCCTACAAAAACAAGCAGAGATTTTCGTACGTAAACAAGTCCGATAGTGTTTTTATTTTCCCCCACCCAACAAAAGATTGCAAATAAGATATTAATTATAATAAACTAATGTAGTAAGTTCTGATTTTAATAAACTGATGTAGTAAGCTCTGGTTTTATATTTCAACGAAAAATTCATAATTGAGAATTAAATTCTAACTTGATAAATTAATTTTTAAATTTGAAATTCAAGGGAAAAAGTGGACTGACATGCACTAGAGAGAATCGCCCAAATTGTTAAATTTACCAAAATTATGTTTCTTCAACATTTGCTGATGCTAACTAATAAATAACAATAACAGCTAAGACTAATATAAAAGACTGTTGTTATAATGCCAACTTCACAGGACTAAATAATAATAATAATAATAATAATAATAATAATAACTTGTTGAATATCAATAAGCACCAAAAGAGAGGAAAAGAAAAGGAAATTCAAAGATATCAATCAAAACGACGAAAACGTCAATTCTATCATTAATAAACAAAAAACTGACCACCCCTTAAAAGTTAAAACATGTCAAAACACTCAAAAAGATATTGACAAGGTCATATTATCAATGACAATTTTTTGATTAAACGACAAATTAACTGCTACCACAATTACATCTTAAAATCCCCAAAAAAGGAGGGAAAACAGAAAATAAAGATTTATTTACCACTATTTTTTAAGATTTAATAGTCATTAGTACAAATATTGTTAGAACTAATTGCACATAAGACCCTCTATGGTAGATAGAGAGAAGGATCAGCGTCAACCCAGTGGTCCACGTTCCAGTACACCGCCGGATCAGCCGAACCCCTTACATCGAACAGCGAACCCGG